AAGTTCGACCAATACAACACTCGTCTCGACCCCTGACTGGCTGTCGCTCGAAAACCGGTCATACATGAACTGGTGTTTTTGAAGTTTTAAAATGTTTTAAACATGCTTAAAGGTATAAGGTACCTGCACACTACTATCACAAGCCCCATTGGTCCCACCCACATAAGGCCGAGGCCGCCACCTTTTTTCCCCAAAAGAATGCAAGGCGGGAGGAGTTTACTGTAGGCATTCCCAACCCCGATTTGTAAACAAGCCAGGGGGCGCCCCTCACCCACCACTTGTCAACTGAAGGCCTAAACACAACTACATCATGACAAATCATCATGCAAATTGTGCGTGACCAGTCATGTCTTCCCTTCTAAAGAAAAACTATATAAAGTGCTAGCTGGGTTTCTGAATCTGCAACCATTTCTGTTTCACATCACCAGCCTTCACTTTCCTCACTTTCCTTCACCTAACCCCGCAACCACCTGGGGGTGGACCCCCCACGTCAACCCTGCCAGCCTCGGCACGGCATATTGCCCCACCACGGCGGCATCCTGGCGCGAGCAGGAGCAGGAGCAGGAGCTCTCACCGGTCACCGGTCCACACGGTCAGACGCCTGTGTGCCCTGACTAGGCGTTTTCGGACACCAAGAACCACCCCAAATCCGTGGTTTGGGTGAATATGAAAAGTATATAAACATTTTATACTTTAATCGTTTGCAAACCAAGAAGCACAACAACATACAAAAGCAAAGGAGGGTCGCTTGCAGTCATTATATAATTAATTGGTCTAGGATTCTAGGATTGCCTTCGTGTGTTCAACTGCGAGCCTGACATCCATGGTTTCTGTCAGCTTGACGTCGTCACCCGCCCTACCCGCCTGCGGCCGTCCCAAGGAGATCCCCTTCATGGCACCATCCGGCGCCACGCGACTCTCGCGGGGGATCCTTGGTGGCGGTGGCGGACGGCGAGCTCGATGCTGAATGCGGTCGATCAATGGAATCAAAGGTCGGCTCTGAAGCAAACGGTTCGATCTGGAGCACTGGTAGGAGCCTCCAACAGGAAAAAACCTTCAACGGGTCACCACCTTCCGCAAAATGCTCCAGAAAAGATTATCGTTTGATATCTTTTGTTCTTTTGTTTCATTTTGTTTCCCTTGTGTGGCATGCTGAATGTTGAACACCAGCAATCTGTGGCCGATGGATATGGGCGAAGAGGTTTGCTCACGGAGCCGGCCCAAGAAACTCTGTGGTGCGGTTAATTTGCCGGTGAACGAACCAAAGCAAAGGGGGACGCAAGCGGCTCCCTGCAAAACAGAAGCCTTTATCATGGGACTTGTGGACTGGAAGCTGGAAGCTGGTCTTGTGGATCCGATCCCTTTGATTTGACAAGCGTTCGATTTGACCAGCCAAGGATCGAAAAGCTGGGGTTCACGATCGAGAAGACCGTGGTGCCCATGTCCTCGTAGTTCGTGAAACAAGGATGGCTCGGATGCGTCGCTGCTGGGCATGACTGACGGAACAAGAAGCTACTAGGAGCTCCTGGCATCGCTACGTATACTAGTAACTACTAGTAACAAGAAGCCACTAGGAACAAAGGGCATCGATACTAGGAGCAAGAAGCTACATCTACCCCATTTGTGACCCGAATGTAGGTCCATAACTATATACTATAACTTGATATAACTTGTATATAACTCTGCCACTGGGTATCCCTGGGTATGTCCTCAACATTACTCTCTCTCCCTCTCTCAATAGCCAACGCAGCATCCGAGCCCAGTGCCCAACGCAGCATCCCCACCGGACGGTCATGATCCGGGTGTTCCGGATGGTCTCGATCCACTTTGTAAGCTCCGGGGCCTGCGGCACGGAGACGGAGAGGCTTGAACGAATAAACCAACATAGTGAGAGGAGAAAACAGAATGAACCTATGGACCCGTTATCATTCACCACATAAACAGTGCAGGACAGAAGGGATTTTAAGGGTAGGCGAGGCAAAATGCATAATGGATTGTGCTGACTCGCGACCGAAAGCTTAGATGAAGCATCCGTATAGCCGTATAACTTGCCAATTTAGGTTCCAAAATGAACTTGAACTGTCTCTGAATCCCCCAGCCGCTATGAAGCAACAAACAAAAATGGAACACATCTGTCTATAGGACGTGCCTGGGATGTAGGCGTTTTGAGGCGACTTCCAGCGGCTGTCGTTCCCGATCTTGTGGGTAATGGGCCGCTTGTGCTCTGAGAAGTTGTTGAGCCATTTGCCCAAGTGAGCAAACTCCTAGGATTCGCAGCGGAAGGGCGGGAGGAGACCAATGCGGAGGCCTCCCTTTTGGGGTCTTTTGAGAACAACCCGAGGCCGAGAGCAGGTCTTTTTCGGCGTCCGCTTCCAAGCACTGAAGAAAAGACATGTCTATGTGTGTGTGTGTCATAATCTTGCAAAGCTTCGCACGGCTGAAACATTCAGCGAAGAAAAGTACAGTGTCGCCCAGGTCTGATGCGTTTTCTGAGCACAATTCTTGAGTTCGAGGGATTTCAAGTGGGGAAGCAGCATCCAGTTCAGTCATTCTCTTACTTAGTACTGTGTCCTTTCCTCCGGCGTCCTTGCAAGCATGGACCATCTGGTTACAGATCACTCCTAAGGTGTCCTGTCACGGTGAAGGCAAAACACCTGAGGGGTAACTTTAGCACTTGTGCTGAACAGTGGGGTTGACTTTTGCCATATAACAGTGCTTGGATGAAATGGTGGGAACCTCTACAGCACTGCTGGAGTATAAATTATGTAGTGCCACATCTGCATAAGGAAGACGGGCTGCCGACACATCATAAAAATACAAGGGGGGCAAAGTCATTGCTCTGAAATCTGTGGTTCTCCATTTCCAGGATGCAAAGATGTATATAGACACTGCTCGATCAACCTACATGGCTGGTCTAGGGTCGCACTCACTCAGTTTCCTGGAAATTTAATTGGTTGATCATGGTTGATGTGTTTCCACCTCTTTGTTAAAGTTTAGTGGGCTTTCTCTATTCTCAAACAGTTTCTTAAAGGTTATCGATGAAGTCAAGAAATGGGAACATGTGAAGACTGAAGACATTATATACATCATTGTTCACTTCAAAAATCTTGCAGTCTCACACAGCGGAGGAAACTCAAGTGGTGCACCGGCTGAAATGAGACCACTTCCATAAGACCCCACCAGGAAGACCAAACACAAGGTGAGTCCCCCAACACGATCCCAAACCCTAGGCCTGCAAAAAGGAGACACCTCCGAAGTATATAAACGTTTCATGCCAGGCATTCATATAACTAGTTATATATATATAAATATCTTAATCTGTTAATCACATTAAAACATACATGATACATAGTAATGAGTAATATGTATATATATATAGTTAAATATAGTACTGTTCGATTGTATCCCATCTCCGACCCTCCCCTCCCGAAAAGCAACGTCCCTCCGTTGGGGTTGACCGGTCGGTCGAACATCGAGCATCCGGATGCTTGGAGTTCAACATGGCTCGGCCGGTGCCCTCGGTGGGGGAAGGCGCCAAGACACAGTCGTCATCGTAACATGGCAGGTGTGGGGATCTGGAAAACATATAAATCTCATTATAAAAATCTCATTATAAAACTATATAAAACTATATAACTTAATATAACTTATGTCATCCCAACATGTTCGGTTTTGGGGTCGAAAAAGCACACTTAAATAGGTTCTTCCGAAAGAACTGGATTTTGAGATCCCAGATTGAGGATCACTGAGGCCACACCTGAACAAGCCTTGAGAAACGAGCGGGTCACCAGCGTTCTGGGACCTTCAAGATTGCTCACAAAATGAAGCTGGTAGGTACTCATGTACAATTCAAAAAAGAATCATGTCACCCAAAAGCTCCTGGACCCTCATATGGAGGGCTCTGGACCCGAACCAATCCCTACGGTTTTGAGGGACCAAGGGCTGTTTGGAGCGTCTGGCAGTGTATAAATCATGTTTTAACAGTGTAACACATCCACACCGCCACAGCAAGTTCCACTGTAGGTACGAGTACATGCGAGTTTGGTGCCCACATTGACTTTAATGATCTTTGCGTGTGTGTGTGTGTCTCTGCCATCTTCTTATCACCCAACAAAAACTATCCATATTCCCCTTGAATCTCTATTCGCTCTTAAAGCCATGGTCGGACCGCACGTCTCACCTCTCATCTCTCAGCTCCCACCTCCCGCCTGAACCGGACGGAACCGGAACCGGGGAACGGTCTCTGGCGGCCGGCCTTGAGCCGAACACGGCGGCCTGAACCGGCATCGACCTCGGCCTTCGGGCCGATCTCCCAACACGTGGTGAGATTACTAAGGAAGGGCCGGAAGGGCCGGAAAGCCTCTCACTCTCTCTCTAAAAGACTTAGCGGCTTGAAGCTGGGGCTACAGCTGGCAGGACCAACATGTCTGAGTCACTTGAAGTCACTTGAAGTCATGCGGGCAGGGAACAAACGTTACATTACTTATTACTTGTACTGATTCATGTGATTCATACTTCCCTATCTTATAAAAATCCTTGGGCCCTCCATGGCAGGGGTAGTACCCTGCATCTTTGAAGGGGACCAAACCTTTCCAAATTGGATTTTGTTTGTTTCCAGTCACTTGCTTAAAAGCATGGTACTTCCCTCTCGCTCTTACCTCTTGCCGGTACTCAAAAATTAGAACATGATACAATCAAACATGTGCGAGTGTATTGGGTTAACGCCACAACTCTGCGTTGAAGTGAAAAGGCCGGTTTTCAACGGAACTTCCAGCCTTGGATTGATGGCTTTGCTTGCCCCCACACTGCTCCCAGTATTTTGGTCCACAACACCTATACGACGAGAACACCTACCACCACCAGTCTTCCTCACTTAAACAAAAAGTCTAGAAACACCACCCTGGACTCCGAAAACAACCCTAGCAGGCACACTGAGTGGTTCTGGCAATCTTCATCCTAGGGCGTATTGAATTGAGCCACCTCCGCTGTCATGTCCTCGCCTCCCCAAGGTATTCCTCAGGGCACCAGGAGTAGCAAACGGTTGATTCAAAGAGAGGGCTGAAAGCGGCTCCTTTCTGCACAGCAATAATGAACATGTTTATATATTTGATTATAATTTGGTAATTTTCTAGCAGGGGTGATTTTATGAATCACACGATGTCACCCGTCTACATGAGAACATGGAGACCATGATGCACAACTGCGCAGTCACCCTGCTTCAAAAATGATCACTGGCCCGGGTTGGACTAATGTCAGTTAGTGCAGCTACCCTGCTTCGAACATGATCACTGGCCGGGGTTGGACTAATGTCAGTTAGGCCTTTGAAGTCTTTGCCTTCTTATATAATCTGCAACCTTCTGGGGGTCCTTAAAAATATCGAGCCGCACGCGTGCTCACGCGCGGAAAGCTGTGGGGTGCGCCGGCAGGTGAACTCTCTTCTTATCGAGCGCCGTTCCACGTGCCGAGGCACACTGGTAGGATAAAGTGGGTTGCGGTGACTGGTGGGGTCGAGTCACTGAAGGCTGTGTTGTGTTGTGATGAAGTTTGTCATGGTCACGTCTGTTGTGTTCTGTCGTGCTTGTCCTTGTGTATTGTCAAGTGTTGTGTGCTGTGGTTATGTTGGGTCATGTCATGTTGTGTGTGTGCATGCGGCATTGTCTGTTGTCTGCCGTTGTGTTTGTCATGGCAGGTTGTCAATTGAAATGTGTGTTTTTGTCATTGTGTGTAGTCTATTATTGTGATCATGGACTTGGCCATGCGCTGGGTGATGCCTCGCAGCAAAGGTCCTGATGGGGCTGTCTAGAATTATCAAAGCTACTACTAAGCTCAATTCTGTCACATCACGTACGGAGCCCCCCGCCCTTGAAAGAAAACATGTACACACATACTGGAGCTAAACCACAGGCATGTGACGGTATATGGAGGCAAAAGATAGCAGAATAAATTATGCGCTCACAACCACTGAGATTCATTTGGGTTTTCACTGCGCCATCATGCAAGTGCCAGCAAATCCTTACATGGGACCCTATAAATAATGTAGTCTGTAAACTGTAGACTGCCGATGAATAAGCCTGAATAAGCCTCCCATACGGAGGGATTTTACAATTCAAAGGAAGAGTGTTTAATCACCAGGAGTCACATGTCGGGGTGGTGTTTAGTCCCATCCAGTGAGTGGATGTTCTGGGCACCCCTATCCTCCAAGTTCAACACCCCGTCTTGTGACTCCTGGCAACTGTCTGCATGAAGCCACCACCATGATTCTTTCAACAGACATTCGGATTTGCTTAAGGAGCTTAGGACAAAGACAAAAATGCGCACCAAAAAGAATCATCCTAATCAAAACCAAGGAAACCATTTACACCTGACTCAGTGATCTCCACCAACTCCCCCTATGTGTTGGGGGTTGTGGCACCCACCAACCAGTGGACGAGTCCTTCCGGCTCGGTTGGAGGCCCCCGGCGGTTCCGGGCTCCGAGCCCCACACGCGTGGCTTCGCCTCCAGGCGGTTCCGGTCGGAGGGAGCGATCCACGGGGCGTGGCCCAAGGGATTTGGATCATATATGTGGCATTGGTAATACATTTTCCATTTCCATTGACGCATAGTGAGCCCTCATTGGTAATACGGTATAAAAATAAACATATCCAAGAAAATCCAAGAGACATAGGACATGTGGGATGTGTATGGGTGTACATGTGGGCGAGTGCTTTCATCGCTTTGGCACGCCTGCTTTGAAGAGATCCTAGGTTCACGACACACGACCGAAAAAAAAAGGGCACCGGAGGAATTCTGTTTGATATCGACCTTCATCAAGCAATATGGGTCAAATGTCCCTCTTGTTCATGGCAGGTCGATGCAAGAAGACGCCTTTTCACCTCCACGGGCCGGGCCTCCGGCGAAACGAAGGCCGTCCTGCATGCAGCTCCGGCCCTGGGAGGGGTCTGAAGACCTCCACAACTAAAGGGCGAAAGGGGGGACGACATTGAAAGGAAACAAAGTTTTTTGGGTGTCATGGCAAACTTGGGCACGTGTACCTTTGCTTTCTCTCAGAAATCCTTTCACCACCTGGTGTTCGCATCCTTGGAAATGTTCACATGTTCTGGTTTGTCTGCAGCGACCTTGTTCCAGAACCGTCTTCCGGGTGCCTGAGCCTGAACCCAAATATATATATATATATATTATATTTGTTTTTTCCAAGTGCACTAACGACACAACGGGACAGACAAACAAACAAACAAAGAGTTGGAACACCACAAATCAGAGGGAAGCTGTGCTCTTGAACAACAAGGCAGCAAAGAATGCACTCAAAAAAGGGAGTAGAAATTGAAAAACCGTGCTAGTGGCGCCAAATGCCGTGCCGGAAAACCTGCAGCCTGGGCTTAAGTCTATTGGGCTTTGCTAGGATGAAACAGATATCCCAACTTCTCAAGCTTGCCATCGGACAGAAACCATCTCCGTTCGGCCCTCCACTTTCTGTCAAGACGGCGCTCCATCCAAGACTACTTAAAAGCAAAGGCCCACCGGGCACAGGAGTTGGGCGGTGAGATGTCGGATGACCTCTTTTTGGGAGGCTCAGGATTAGACACCCCGAGCTTGCATCGATTTTTGTTGGACCTGCGACATTTGTTCCACCAATGCAGGATCACCCTGTCCGCTTGTTTTGACTCAGTGGAGCGGCTAGCCTGACTCTGTTCTTAAGCTCTTCAGATTGATTGAAATCATAGTTAACAAATACCAGCGGATACCATGTTTTGATGTTCAATGAGGCCATTTAGAATCCTTACAAGTAGCAACTTTCCAAACCAATCCTTCTCAGATTCTCTGTCCTCGAGGCTTCTGGGCGAGATGCCCCTGGCATCGCCGGCATACGATATATAAATTAACTTGGCTTGTCCCACAACTGTCTGACTGATGCAAAACATGGGGCTAATATGAGCTAATTTGGCTAATTATGAACCACTTGTGAGAATGTCCCATGTGATCATCATAATGATCATCACTAACATCAGCATCATATCCAGCATGTGGGTGTTGGATAACACCTTGAGGGGCATCCCCAAAGGACATCAACGGTCCGGACATCATGAAGCTCTGAAGACAAACATCTGACTCCAAGCATCTGACCAACAGAATTCAAGGATTCAAACACGCCTCCTTCTTCTGACGTGAATTTTTCCGGGATGCTGACCGACTGAAATCGGTGAACCCTGTCCAACTCGACCCTGGTGTGTGATTGGCCAACTTCTGAACCTCAAGGCCACATTCAAGGAACCGGCTCTGGAACAACTTGAAGCAGTATCTCGTAATGTTCTTTTTTGAGCACCAAAACTACAAAAATGACACAAACATAACGCTAATCCATGCAAACCCTGCATGCTCACAAGGGTATGGCGAACCAGTCATGGCTCTCTGTGGTTTCACTTGCCTAGGGCGTTCGCTCGCCTGGCGATGTGTTTGCCGCGTGGGCCGCCGTGGCATCTGATGCAGGGCTGCCGCTGGGCGATGCGCCGGGAGTCGGTGCCTGACCGGGGGAGATTGACGTCAAATGCATCAGAAATGCATCAAAACAATGTCTGACAAACAATGTCTGACCCCAAAAAGGCCCCTAGCCCAGCTTGCAAAACATTGAGAACGACTACAAATTGACCCAAAACAACGCCACCGAACGCACCCGAAAAAAAAAAAAAAAAAAAAAAAAAAAAATATATATATATATATTATAAATATATAAACAGGTTACAATGAATGCTGGTTTTCACAGCCATGCGCCTGGCCCAACTGCGTGGCACCCAGCGTCACAGCCTTTGGCTTTCGGATCATGGGACCCAAGACTCGCTTCTTGCGTTCGTAGTATGGCCAGGAGCTACGTCGTCCGATCGCTGAAACGCGATGCCCAACATGTTCCCAGAAGCTTCTTGCTACTAGTAATGTTGTGTTTCTCTTCTCTTTTGGGGGATATGATGTGTTGAACAATTAGAAGAAGCCTTAAGATATCTTAAGACTCTTAGAGAAGCGTGGCAAGCGGGTCACGGCCACAAGCACCAAATACGTCAAACACCTTCCCTCAGCAATGTTGGGCACTGACAGAGGGTCAGCCCTGGATTTGGAGGCTTGGAAGCCCAGCCAAAGAATCATAACAATGCCAAATCATCAGCACCAAGCGCTTCCGAAGAGCCCTTCCACCACGTTCTCGATCACTTCAGCATGCTGTAAGGTTGCCCCAACATCAAGTCTAATGTAATTAATATAGACTCTTGACTCTTGATTAATAAAGCACCCCATATGAAGGGGAATTTCCTTTCAAATGGTGGGGTGGTGTATTAATCAAGAGTCTACATTAAGTGTCCCAGCTCCGATGGTTGAAGGGATCCACCCTTGGCCAGGTGGCCGCTGGGCGCTTTGGACCCACGGAGTTGGGGTGGTCGATGTGATTTCCATCCCGCCACACGAAATCCGTGGTGCTGGTCATTGATTGAATAGACCCTACAAGTCCAAGGACCAAGTTAAACCTGGTCCTTTACCTCTTTGAGTACTGGTTTTGCATCACCGGACCCAGTCAAATGAGGTCCTTGACCTGTAGGGATACTTGAGCAGCTTCTTCCCAAGAAGCCAACAGCTCAAGATGCTCAACCCTCCCCTGGTCTTTCCACTCCAAGCAGCCTCTTCGGGCTGCATCCACCGTCCGGACCTTGAGAAAGGAGGCACAGGAGCTGACTGATAAGTCAATCCCAAAACCTCTCCTCCACAAATCGAGGAACCACAGTCGTTCAGGATCGATGGTGGAGTGCCTCAACAGCAACACCACTGCCTTTGATTTTATCAAGGCACTACCCAGAGGAACTCAAGCTTGCAATATCTTAAGTGTGCAGAACAGGGCCAACCACAAGCCATCTCAAATCCCAAGGCCGAGGTACATCAATCATTTGTGGATTTCACAGTCTCTGGGCGACACGCCAAAATGAAACCCTTGACAAGACTGTAGTGTATACCCGACATATGTTTTTCTTATCAACCAAAAACATTCTAGGTGTAATATGCTTATCCACACTCACAACTACAGTACATGCCATTGGCCCATCCTAGCTCTTTTGGCAAGTTCATCGATTCACCTTTCCCTGTTTGGGGCCTGTCATTCCACGATTTATGACCACTCTGTAGGAAGGGGTGGAATTAACTCCACAAGTAATGCCATTGGGTGGGAAAGCTTTCAGATCAAATCAGGGCCAAACTGATAGGCAGGAACCTCCTTCGACTCCTCTGCTGATCCTCGAAGGGGTCGTTGCAAAGAACCAAAAAAGCACCGTCCTCCGTGGGGGCGCGCGTCCGTTTCATCGCTGGCAAGGCACACTTGCGACAGAAGACCCTCCAGCTGTGCCAAGGTGGCGCCTTTCCAGCTATCAGAAGCACTGGACGCAGGCAGCCCCTGCATCGCACGGACACCGCACCGTGGCCGCACGTGGCCGATGCAAACAATGATGCAAACAAAGAGGGGTTGGATGAGCCGGCGGATTTGGGCTGTGAGGGTGGGTTTATGAAATAGATAAGATCAATAGAGGAAGCACAGCACGGAAGCTTCCTCTATGCTCAAGTTCGGAAGATTCGGGATTCTTCCAAATGAGGGCCTTTCACCTTCACCAACTCGTTGGACTTCCGTCTGTCTATGACCTAGGCCGGCCGTTCCGGCGCAGTCCCGGGCGTGGTGGACCTCCGGTGGCTTACGCCGCCGTTACGCCGCGTCCACCGTCTGAGAGTCTGACGTCCCGGAAACAGCGTGTCGATGTGATGCGAAGAACGGTATGGCCACGGGGTAGGAGCGAGCTCGTCTCGAGTCACACTGCTTCACACCAAAAAACCTGCGAACGCTTGCAAGAGCGAACGCCGGTTTCGACCCCCGTATGCCGTATACCTTCTGATTTGGACGTAAGAGCAGTGACACTCTGAAGAGTCCGCGTCGCATTGGTGATGGGATACGGCTGGCAGTTGGAGTTGGGACAAGCGCTCTGCATAACCTCCCTCCAGCAAACGTAGAAGTGGACAATCCTCTGTTTGTAGAGGAAACGGTTTTTTCCATGTGCCATTCTCAAACTTCTATGTTTTTTGGAGGGAGATGGATGGAGGGAGATTTTGCAATGTTTCGCTAGGGGATTTATGATCCCTTCCACCCCGCAAGGGGAGTAAATTAGGACCTCCACCCCCACTGAACTCCGCATTCCACTTTTTCTCAGTGCGTCCACCCCAGGCCGGGCAGCCCTGGAAACACAGGGCAATGAATTCAAGTGAGGTGTGCCTCAAACATGTTGAGTGGTAGAACTGTAGAGCATGTTCTCTTCAATGCACAAATGCACTGACACTGAAAACCGATGAATCTGCTACCAACAAAGCCTGTCCTGGCACACCGGTGATGGCACATCCCTCATGACGAATGATTCAAGTCTGGTGCGAAATCCATAGCGCAGGCTTGTTGCGACATCTCCAGAGAGCCTTTGGCAAGTCCGTCACCAAAAAACGTTTTAGAACTGTGTTTCTCTTGCAGCCAGGCTGTTCCACTTACTTGTGTCCCTGCATGCGCGAGTGCACTTTAAACTTCCAAGATTCCACTGGCGGAACCCAACTCTTGTTTCTGCTTCAATGAGCGGCTTTCCATCATCAGGTTGGTTGTGATCAAACTCCCGTGCCGATCTTGTCACTGAGAAGTTGGTCCCAAAGCGACCTTGGGTCATGGCAGAATGCACTTCCTGGTTGAGAAATTGAGGGAGGTACCCGGGTACCCTTGGAAGACAAGGCCTTGACTCCTTTGTATCATACTTGGCCCTTCCTGTGTGCTGGAGTCTCATAAATTCATGTCAAACAAAAAAACATGTCCAGTCATCATGCAGGAACTTCCCACGCCACTTCCCACCCGAAAAGTCACAACATGAATCGACCTTGTCTGGCTCATTTCAAGCTATTGTCGAGTGACTGCTGTTCTCCTACACCACGCATATTCAGAGTGAGCACGCATAAAACGAATTCAATGCATTCCATCTCTTCTCTGCCCCCTTCATGGCCAGAACCTGGACACCTCAGCATGGAAGAAGATCTGCATATGGCCTTTGCGGTCCTCAAAGCATCACCCCCCCCCATCCCCCCAAAAGCGACCCATGCACTTTCCCTGGTCCTTCTGTCTGCCGCGAGCGCTTCGGCTCGCCGTGCGGAGGTCCGGACCACAGGGTCTCAATAAAGGTTCCTCTTTTTGTTGCACCTGTTGGTTACCTGTTGGCTTTTTTTTGGGGGGGTGTTCCAGCAATCCCCCAAGAGGTTTTTGCGGTGGATCCGCATATTTTGGTAGGAAGCTCGAAGCCTGGAAGCCAGGTGATCCTCCAGAAGTCCTCTCAAGTCACGAACAAAACACATTAAGTCGGTGGGTTCAATCATCCCAGGTACGGGTTGAACAACAAAATCTCCTAATCCATCACCTATATGTATATAGAGTATGGCATATAAATATAGCTCTTTATGGATGTCTTTGACGCTATCTTCGCTCCGCCCCCCAGTTGCAGGTCTGCCAGTCGCCGGAGCCCCCGGTGGGGCCGAGCAGCATCTGGTCATTCAGCGCGGTCATGGCCTGGTAGTAGTCCTGGCGCGGTAGGACCGGGGCCACCCGGAGGACCATCCATGTACGGAGCATCCATGCCGCCCCGATGACGGCGGTTGATGAGTAGATTCACTACACTGAATTCTGAGATGAAGTAGATAGTTCTTTCCCAATCACCACCCGAAATCCCTGGTACATGTTGTGTGGCCTGGCCTTTCAAACATGATGGCATGTCTTGGCCTTTCTACGCTAAGAAAATCATCGTCCCACGTCCGAGGTCCTCAGCCAAACGTCCCACTTCCTCGTGGAGTTGCATCGCCGAGCCGACCAGGACCTGCCAAGCCGATTTTGCTGCCGACGAGGTGGCACAGACGAGTGGATACTGACAGAGACGATGGGAATCCATGATGATCATATGTAGAATTTGGGTCTATCCTATTACCAGGGCCTAGTGGATGATGATGGCTACTAAAGGCCTGGTTCAAAAAGAGTGTTAATTGTGTACTGACTGTTTCAGGTAAGAACGGACAAACCCAATGTAGACTCTTGATTCATCGACACCACAAGGATTGAACAACCGATATGGGGGGAACATTAATCACGAGTCTACATGACCTGGAGATACCTTCTAGATCTTTGGGGCTTAGTCAAGTCGCGGAAGTTCCAGCCTGGAAGAGGTACTTAGGCAGGGATGTCAATTGGTTAGAACAAGATTTGGATGATGATATTTTATGTTTTTTGCGCATGATCTGATCTACGATCCCAGTGAGGGCCCCTCTGATTGTTGGTCTGAGGAAGGGAGCCCTGTAGGCTGCATTCGTTTTGCCGTTTTGTCAATAACCTGGACGTGGACAGTACCTTTTGCTGCTTGATCATGTGGTCGGAATCTCCTCGACCAAACAAATAATACGATCCCTCGTTAACATGCACCTGCTTACTTTCCAAACGCCCCGTCCGCTGGCGAATTCAGAGAGGCTCCCTCAAGGCAAATCCGGCAGACATCTGGCTACACTCCGACTCACTAACATGGAAGTGGAAAACCTCCTGTTTGTAAAGGAAAATAGTCTTCCGAGGGGTCATTTTCCACTTCCATGTTAGTGAGTCAGAGAGTACCTCCAAACCTCTACTTGGTTACATGAGACCTCCAAACATCCACTCCGCTGTGGAAAACCCCACGTGCGCACCGCACTCTTGGCGTCAGCCGCTCGGAGCCGCTCGCCATAGGCTGGCAGCTCCCGCAGGGAGGGGGTGTTCACCTCGGGTGAAGTGGTGTGAATTGGGATGGGCCTGCAGAGTCAAAGAACTTCTCTAATCCAGCAGTCACAAAGGGGTGCCTATTGGAGGATAGGGGTGCCCAGTATCCATTCACTTAGGAACTAAACGCAACCCCTTTGTGACTCCTGGTTATGAGCTTGGATTCTGAAAAGGCATACTCGGCAAATTCAACATACACAGGAATACCACATAGAAAAAAAGAAGACACTATATGGGGGATTGCTCTAGGTGCGCTTGCGCCATCTGTTCTGAAACTCAACAAGTCGAGGCCCAAACCAAGTTGGGTCCAACAGTAGGACTCCTTCACCAGCCAAGTGTAGCAAATCTGTGGGGAAAGCGTTCAGGATTCGGCACGCTAAAACTGAATGGATCTGTTCAGACCATGTTTAGCCAAGTTCTGGGTGCTCGAGTCATCCAAAGCCAGCACCTTCGACCCCCAAGTGACCAAAAAAGCTCTCTCAGAGTCATCAGAGTCACAGGAGCCAGGTAGACCACGGGTCATACACAACCTCTCTGTAATCTGAAGTGCCACATGTTGCTCGCAAAACGAGCAACCCAATCGGGGACTAGAAACGATGTTGATGTTTCGACTCGTCAGAATATCGTTGGGGTTCAACCTTAGGGAAAAGCCTCTTCACTGGAATGTTGGAACATTGGTTTTTCCCAAGGCATTCCTAGTGACCCCAGCAGCCCCATGGAGGTCAAACACTTCTGCTGCATTTGGAAACGCGCCCCCCTTTCAAAACCATGTGTTTGGTAGGAGGCTTCACCTTTGACCCAGCAATGGGTGATGGTTTGGAGCAGGGCGCTGAGTGAAGCATTAATAGTGAGAAAGATTGTTCCACTGTGAGTGTTGGTCAAGAGCCCCCTGGAAAGAACAGAATTCTCTTTCAACCATCCCCAAGCTACCATGGCTGGGCCAATTCTTGGGCTAGGTTCGCTTTTGACTCAGGGCTGCCCTGGTACAGGGTGAAGGGCAGTTGGCTGACTCCCTAAGTGTCCTTCCACCTATTCTCATTCAATGGGGAAACCAATCCCCCAACAAGGCTACAGGTTATCCAAAGATTGAACTCCTTTTCCCAGCGGTTCTTGCTTAATTCATGGGAAAGTTTCCTGGGTCAACCATTTTTCCAAATGGCCAAGAAAAGAAGTTTTGCTGATGATCCACTTTTCCTTGGCTGCTCAGCCGCATAGCTTTCGAGTGCCTCGACTTCCTTCAGCTGCCGGGCGAAGTCCTGGCGGACGAGGGGGCTCGAAGAGGAGGATCCAGGTCCTTGGATTTGGTGGAAACAAAGGGAAGGCACACATGATCACACATATTATATTCATATATCATGAATATGTATATGTGAACATGTATGCAATACGTATAAGTGAATCACCCTATAAGTGTCGGTAGCTGGGTGACCTTTGAAGGTGACGTGTGTTTTCCAACCAAAGCAAAGGCCACAGGTCAGGTAGCAGTTGTTTTCCCGCACACCACAGGCCCGTCCACGGGCGTCTCACGTTCTGGCCTTTCAAGGCCGCAAAGGTGCCACAGCTATGGCGGCACGTGCGCAAACGGTAGCCTCATA